CTACTGCTTCAGAATAGACCTACGCTTAAGATATAATGGGCCCAGTGAGACTTCATTGGAAAGAATTAGCTTTTCTTTTGGAAGCAGATGTGAATTGGAAAGACCTTCTGTGTTAGGGATGGGAGATCATGTCAACTTCCCCCTCTCAGAACTGGGATCCCAATGGATTAAGGCAGGCATAGGAGCATTCTGCAAACAAAATTACACAACTAAACCACTCCAGGCATTTGTCTTTTAATCTCTCCTCTGAATGACTAGAACCAAAGAGACTATGCAGATACTGATGGATGATCAGGCCAAGCTATACCTCTCATCAAATTCCTTCAAGTCCTAAAAAAAATACTTATCTGTCCACACTTCCTTCTTGCTATTCCTCACAATGGCCCCAAACTCTAAAGGAAACTTTGTGCCTCATTTTGCTTCTGATGAATTTTTGGTCTAAGGCTTTGTTTCCATTGTTTGTCTATCTAGAGACTAGCCAACTGTTTTTCAAGATACACTTCATCCTTCATATCTCTATGGTCTTCTCACACCCTCAAACTCAGAGAATTCATCTACACTTCTAATATGACACTTGTCACTTTATGTAGTTGTGGGAATACCAGAAATGATCACCAGGAGATACCACCATCATACTAGAATCCATCACATAGAGCATCAGGTACATTCCTCTATTTCTATATCTTCCACTTAACTAAATTTACAGAGTTATTAATTATTTTGTCAATATGTGATTTTAGCTGTAGTGGTATTTCTCTTATGACCTTGGGTGGGTTAGATGGCATGGTGTCCACTTCTTCAGAGGATGGTGTCATTGCTTAACACATTGGGCAGGCTCATCTACTAGCTTTTTCCTATTCAGTTTAAGAGTAGATTATTTTCAAGGCTTTCCAAACATTTCATAGGAATTTTCACAAGAAATACACAAAAGCTCATGAGTGATGATTACTTTCAGTTAAAAAGAAGAATGAGGGAGAGAGACTGATGCTTAAAATTTGAAAATACTGAGAAAAATCAAAAGATTTGGATGGGCTTCATAGAAAAAACAATTTATAGTGGTAACTACAATTTTGATAGAAAGAACAAATTATCCTGTGCTGGAAAATTGCCTGCAAATTGTAATTATAGAAGAGGAAAAGTGATTTTCAAATTGGAGAGAAATGTGAGAGGATGGTCAAAGGGCCAGATGCATGGTCACTAAAATTTGTTAAAGAGAAACCTAGAATTTTACCAAAGTTTAAAATCTGATAGTTGAAATGCTGCCTACCAGAACTCTGCTGGCAAGAGGTGGTCTAGTGAGTTTGAATGTGTTTGCATTGGCAAAGCCTCTAGGACAGAGTGGTTCAACCTTTCTAAAGCTGTGACCTTTGAATATAGTTCTTCCTGTGGTGGTGACCCCTAACCATAAAATTATATTCTTATTAATATTTGCTACTTCTTAACTATAATTTCACTACTGTTATGAATTGCAATGTAAATATCTGATGTGCAGGATATCTGATATGCAACCACCAAAAGGGTTTCGACCCACAGGTTGAGAACCTCTGCCCTAAGGGAACAGAAGAGGTGAATCTACCACATGCCTATAGACAGATCTCCAATGTAGCAGATCCTGATCTAGATTGTTATATAAAGATGCTTAATGGAATAACTAACTATTGGGAATTGGCAGACAAGAAAATAAATATCTAATTATGTAGAAAGTCCTGGCTCACATTCTTATTTGGGTCTAAGTACTAAGAAAATCAAATATTTATCCTTGTGCACAGTCTTCTAAGGCTTGGAAGCATGTTTGTGTATGAACAAACGAAATAAAGGAGGGAATATAAGGCAGGGCAGAAGTGTGTGGTCCAGTAGAAGCAGCTTGTCATTACTGGGCAAGCTAAAGACTGCTTCAATCAATATAATAGATGATTTGGAAAACTCTTCAGTGTGATACAGAAATGGACATGAAAGCATGGGAATCCTAGCAGAGGGCCAGTTCTAGGCCTTTGAATGCCTTCTGTTGCCTCACTTGGATCTATTCTTAGAAATGTACACCAAGTGAAACTTCTACACCAACTTCTCACCTCCTCTTTTAAACCTGAAAAGATAAAAGAAAAAAAGTGCAACCTAATGGGTCTTTGGTGTTATTAGGCTCAACCTCCTGTTTTTTCTGGGAGTGATTTAAAAAAAAAAATAGTAAGAACCTCCTCTCCACTGGGATTCACTATTCACCCATGTTGACCTGGAATGTGAACTCAAGATCTTCCTACCTCTGCTACCCAAGTGCAGGGATTACAAGCATTTGCCACTATGCCTGGTAACCAATCTTTTTTTAACACTGGTCTTGTCAGAAAATTGCACAACCTTTCAACTTTCCAATACTAGCCTTTCCCCAACTTTCTTAAGTTTTATTGTAAATTGCCTCCATTCTTACACTGGTTTTGTTTAAGTTTGAAGTGTCCAGGACTTTCCATGTCCTAAAGAATCCAATTTCATGGAATGACAACTGCAGTCACAAAGTTAGGTCAGCCAAATGATGAGACATTTCCAAACACCTACAACTCACCTTCACTGAGTCCTGGATTGTAATTCACAACTGTACAAAGGGGAATTTTGTAGACTCATTTTTAAAGGATTTCTTAATTGTCTTTTATTTTGTTTTATATCAATAGGAATAAGGTCTACATAGTTTCAGAAACTGTGGTGAAGCTATGTGTTGTGGGTTTTCTAAGAAGTAAGATAAAAATCTCCATGACTGTCTATGAAAAGAAATCAGATTCATTTTAAAAGAGTGCAATAGGTTGATTTAGTTGGAAAGAACTTTGTAGTCAAAGGTAATTTCTGAGGGTAGCTTAGCTCTAGAATAGTTTTAGAAGAGAGAGAGGGGGAATGAGAGAGAGAAAGATAAACGTTTTTTGTTCACTCCCTCACTCTCTCCTTTCTCTTCAACAAATCTACTACTACCCAGTCTTCGTTGGTTTTATTGTTTTGTGCCTCTGTCATTTTTTTTCTGTTTTTTTCTTGTTTGTTTGTTTTTTGCCTTGAATTCCTCTGCTAGGTCAAAAGAAGCACTACCTGTGGCACCTGAGTAACATTTTACTCTCTGCATAGCCTCGTTTGTTGCCAACAGTTATCCATAGCAACATGTCATTTGTGAACAGGCTGACAACAGCGATCTGCTGTTTGTAAACTTTGACCGTTTCTAGATCTGTCATCTCTACATTTTTTAGTCTGTGTTGTCCTGATTGCTTTTAACTGTAGGAGCTGATCTCCCTGAAAATTTGGCTGTGTTGAGCTGATTGGAAATAGTATTAGTTTTACACTGATGGACAAAAGATGAACCTACAGGGTTTCCGCCAGTATCCACATGGCTCCACTTGAAGCAACTTTCATCTATGTATTCAAATCATTGTGTAAAGACACTTGGTTATTTCAGTTTCTGCTTTACCTATTTCTCCTTTCTGACTATCCAAGCCACTGTTTTTAAAATCATTTTCTATATTTCCACTTTGCATATCACTACAATTCCTGAAAAGTGCAATTGTGCTAAAATTTGGCATTATACACAAACATCTTGCAAATATCTTGGCTAGTTAGAATTTAAACACCCATCTCTAAAGCATTATAGTCATGCTAACTTCTAAGAAAATTGTTTTGGGATCTCTGTGAGTTCGAGACCAGCCTGGTCTACAAAAGCTAGTTCCAGGATAGCCTCCAAAGCCACAGAAAAACCCTATCTCAAAAAAAACAAAAGAAAAAAGAAAGAAAGAAAAAAAATTGTTTTGTTTTGGACATCAGCCACAAATTTCTGTTCAGCAAAAGGGGCTTATATACAACACTACTCTACTGCTTCACAAAGAAACCAAAGACTAGGAAGTAACAGTTAAAAACCACTGAGGAGACAATGTGAAGATTATATGTATTCTGTTGAGTTCATGTCTTTAAACATTTCTTTAAACACTCGAGTGTCAGCCTCAAGTTTGACCTATTTAAGGTTGCTTTCACCAAACATGGGAAAGATTTAATTCAAAGGTACTTGAAAGTGTCTAGCCACAATCAGTTTCGTGTAAGATCCAAGGGAAGCAGCCTTCTCTCATGATCTTGCTGAACTCTCCATTTCAATTCAGCTTACTTTGTTGACAAAGCCTCTGAGCAGGGAAAAACTGTCAAGGGCATTGAAAACTCTTTTATCACTAAACGAACTTTCTAGTAAATAAATTACAATGAACTACTTTAGCAAAATTAAATATTATCTCAGGTTCATTTTTGTTCTCGAGATGTCTACTCCTAATAATACATGAGGCAGCATTGATAATATGGAATAATCATAGAAAAAATATAGGTATATATTCATATACAACACTTCTAGATTTATGTTTGTGCACATATAAGAGAAACAACTCTGGCCCTAGTCGTTAAGACCTTAATAGCAACTCTTCTTTGCTTCTATTTAAAATTTTTACTTTAAAATTACTAGTTCAGTGTACTTGCAAGCTGCTAAACAATATGTTAGATCTATATGTGTTCAAAAATAATAGAGTAGCCTGGCCTGGGAAAGAGCATGAGCTAAAATCCTGCCTGGTGGTATTTCTTCTATGAATAAAACTTACATATGTTTACCTTTAAAAACAAATAAAATAGACATTGCTAGAATGTAAATAGAAGTTAACACTTACTCATAAAATAGCATACGATGAAATAAAATGCAAATTATATTCCAATATAGCAAATATCTGAGAATATTAAACTGGAAGAATTCCCTTGGTTATCATGAACTAAAACTGAGTTCTACATCTTGATTAAAATAAGACATTAATAGCATCCCAGTTATATTTCAATCACATTATAACAAATCATAGTTTGACTGCTCTAATATCCTGATAGCTGGTTATCACACAAGAAGAAAGCATAATTACAAGCAAGCTCTACTTATCAAAGTAAAACAGGTATTGATTGAACTCGGCTTCATATTTGTTTAAAGTATAGAAAATTAACCTTCCAGTTTGGTTACCTACCAGCAGTGATTGGATTCTAGCAGTGTCATCACCTCTACGAACAGCTCCAAATTACAGTCCCCTCTCCCATAACTTAAGCACAAAAGTCAAGGATCTGTTCACAAGTAATGAATGGTTAGAACTGCTTGGAATCCACTTAGTTGAGGAAGGAGAAAAGAGAAGTCACTCATTAGGGGCATTTCCTGAACTCTGGTTGGAATTTCAGTTAAGGAAGAAGAAATGACACAGCAGTTTCAAGTTAAGGCGACTTCCTTTCTTTATCTGAAATATGCTACTAATTTGAGAAACGGCATTCCAGCTGAACTACACCACAGTACTGTGGCTACAGTGGAACACTGTCATTGATGCCATGATTGCCCCATAATGAACATTTTCCCCAGAATTTACAGAGGTGGTGTGTGGTTGTTATCAGAGTGGACTAAGACCCCACAGTTATTGCAACACGTCTGCTTTACAAGGGAGTTTCTTCAGAACACTGACCTCCCCACTTTTCAGTTAAGAATTGTTAAGGGAACTGGGATTCACATGTAAAACAATCTTGTTTCTAATAAAATAAAAAAAGCAACACCCTTCCTCTTGACCCTTAACAATGCTGCTCTCAAATCAGCTATCACCTGTCTCTCTCTCTCTCTCTCTCTCTCTCTCTCTCTCTCTCTCTCTCTCTTCCTTTTGTTTTTGTACTCAATCATGTTTGATTGATGTAAGAAGCTAAAATATGACCTCTCAGCCAGAATTCCAAATGATTCTAATAAGAATACAGGTCAAGAGCTAGTAGACAAGTCTAATTTTGAAAACAAAACGCAAATGTCTCCTATAAGGGAATTTGATACACTTTTCCTGCAAAGAACAAGATAATAAACATTATGTTCTTGTCAGGGTGCATACCATTTACTATTCCTAGGCTCTATTACTGTAATGGCATACTTACATAATCCACAAATGGATGACCACAGTAGCATCTGTATTTCTTTGTCTCCATTTGAAAGCTCCAGAGAAGTTTGTGCTCCTAAGAAGTTTATGACTCCTAAGATTCCACATTTTACATTCTTTTTTAAATACTTCTGACCAGAACACCTTAGCTAGCCTCATCAGTATGACCAGTGGCAGTCATTTTTCAGTCCCAATTTATTTTCTACACCAACAGCATATGTTTATTAAGCCTTTGATGTCTTCCTCTATTTCTATCAGTGAACATCAGTTGTATAGAATAATAGTCCTCACCACTTTCATCTTCATGCTCTTTCAGGGAAGCACACTCAGACATTCTCCTATCTCCTAGGTGTTCAGATGTCCTCTTCCATTTCCTTCTTTTTTCTCTGATTTCCACAATTAAAATATCTTCAGGGTCTTCCTCCCTTCTGCAGCTGTCCTCCTGTCCTTGGCTTCAACAAAACCTCTGTCTGCTGGAAAGGAAGCTGATGTCCACTAAAGTATAGGCTATGGCTGTGGTTCAGATCTCAAGTGCTCTCCAAAGCATCATGTGCTAAAAGTTTGTTCTAAGCTTGGCACTCTTAGGAAAGAGTGGAACACTTGAAGAAGCAGAACTTGGTGGAAGGCATTGGACACTGTGGACATGCTTTTGAGAGATCTGTGGGTCTCCAGTGGAGCACCTTATGTTTCCTCTCTTGGGCCTGGAAGAGAGCAGATTCCTTCCTGCAGCCGTTCTTCCAACAAATCACCTCCCGAGCCACAGAGTGGTAAGTCAACTGATTTTTGAACTGAAACATCCTAGAAATGTGATCCCAAATATGCACTTTCCATATAATTTGATATTTCTTCGGGTATTTGTTTCAAAGACAAAAAAGGCAACATTTCTATGGAAGAAGAGATTAAATATCAGCTACAGCTGTTGGGACCACTTAGAATAAGTCTTGCCACATACTAGATAATATGAATTAAAAACAATTCATAGTTGTATTTACATTACCCTCCCAGCAAAAGAAGTACAATAGTTATTCATTTATTTGTGGTTTTGTTTTCTATATATTTTAGGGAAATGCACACATGAAATTTCAAAACTATGGTCACCTGAACAAGACCTGCACACTGAAAACATCAGATGGCCTGCCAATATGGATGGGGGAAAGACTCAACTGTTTTTACTTTCCAAGAGCTCCAACCCAGTTGATTTTTTAAAGGATAAATCACTCATTGTTTCAATTAGTTCATGACAGTAAAATAAGGATTTAGTAAGAAAATATGTGAAATAGGAGATAAAATTGATGCTAGGATGAGAGACTTTTCATTAGACCAGGCCTGACAGAGAACAATGAAGTGAGAGATGAAAATAAAAGAGAGAGAGAGAGAGAGAGAGAGAGAGAGAGAGAGAGAGATTGGTTTGCAATGGCCATGAAGACAACAATCAGTAAGAGATGGTTTTTAAGTCAAAAATATTAACAACTCACACGGAATAGTTTCTGGTTGTCATGTAACAGCCAGCATAATTTTGTAAATGGATTCTGAAAATATTTTTACTTAAAATTCTTTTGCTAGGCATTCAAAAGCAGGAAAAACATATATTCCCTGCTATTTTAGCTATTACCTTCACTAAACTCTCAAAAATAAAAGCCATTGAACAAAAAATCTTTCTAATAAGAATTTTTTTTCATGGAATTTTAGTTATATTATGCTCATAGGAATCCCCTTGTGTGTGTGCACGTGTGTGTGTGTGTGTGTGTGTGTGTGTGTGTGTGTGTGTGTGTTATACATATCTAGTAGTTACAGATAATAATTTATTTTATTGAAAACTTTCAATATTAAACACTGATAAAGAACTAAAATCTCCTAAAAGTTTAAAACAAGGAAAAGATAAATCTCATAACACAAAGTCTAAAGTCAATATGACCTCAGAAATAAGCTAAAATAAGATATAATATGTAGAACTGTCTATTTTATTCTACTTGTTAATAGAAGTTATATCTAGCAAGATAAATATTATACACAAGAGCACTGTCAAAGAAATATTATCCAAAAGCCTGATTTCATTGTCACTTTGGAGGACAGAAGTTAGAAAGTTAAAAAGCTTTTTTTGTATATGTGTTGAGACCAAATGTTGCTTAGATAATACTTTGAGAAAAACAGTAAATGACAAATCTAATATTAGGTCCCGTATGAGGAGAACTATGGATATTAGTAGTAAGGAAACAAATTGTAAACATTTAAAATATCTATAAAACTGGACTAAAATGTTCTTGACCAAAATGATCACATTCTTAACTAGAAACACCCCCTGCAGAAGTGCTACCGGACATGTCCCATGCATGGGCATTGCTATAGAATTACAGGAGTGGGATGCTTTCACTTCTAAATACTTTTTGTCCATGTCAACGAAATCTGAGAAGATCAATCCATCGATTTCTCAACAATCTCAGCAGAAATTTCCACACTCGCCATTGTTCCATCAATTGCAGTAAAAATACTCATTATTTGGAAAGCAAATTACTTTCCAAAGTTTTCTGTCCCCAACACATCAGTTTTGAAGAACAGATATCTCTAGAAACCCTTTGGTATAAATATAAATTAATTTTCTATAATACTAAGAATGTTAAGATTTCTCTAGAGCTTATATTTACTTATAACATGCACTAGAGTATTAAACAAAGACCAAGTCCAACTAAAAATTTTGAAGTAGACAAAATTAGTTTTCAACAATCAATCTCTTTGCCTTTTTTCCTGTTTCCAGACAGGTGCCACGGTCCCTTATTATCTCTCCATTTTTCATGCCATCTAAAACTATTTTTAGAAAACACTCTAACTCATTACATACCTTATCCACTAAGGAATAAACGAGTGATAAGAATTAAAATAGCCTCCCTCCAAAGGCATTTATATTTCAAAGTTAATATGACCTTAGAGAAGACAATCTTAATGTTGGAAAGAAATGGTTATATACAAATATCTTCAAACAAATAGAAAATCCTCATGTAGTCTTTCATTTACTCTGAGTATGGTATACAGAGACTTGACACCATGTTATCTGCAAAATAAATAAAAGTGTATCTTCTTTCTTTGTAATATTAGGACATTCCAAATTAGATGGCATCTCTCATGATTGACACTTGAGCTCCCTAGAGATTAGAAAAAATGACAAGTCTTCTACAATTATTCCCTGTCAGACTGGATAGGGTGGAATATGCTGTCGTAACAACTCCAAAAATTACTGTGTGTGTGTGTGTGTGTGTGTGTGTGTGTGTGTGTGTGTGTGTGTTATTTATAATGATGACAAAGTTTTGTTCCATCTGGTCACTTAAGGACCTAGAATGACAGACACTCATCTCCAGATATGATTTCTGCACACTGGGGTAGAACATACAATATGGAGAATAATGAACAGCTCTTGAAGATTCTGTTGGAAGTGATAGTCATCATTTCTGTCCATCGTTTATTGTTCAAAGCCTTCAATGGCTCTACCTGCTTCTAGAAACAATGATCATGCAACCCTAACACAAGCTAAGAAGAGAGAACTTAGTTTATTTAATTGGAAAAGTGGCTATGACAATCTGACTTGTTGCCAAGAATTGCATTTTTAGCAAACATTGTTCTCCTATAATGTCATATAGTGAACAAACTTAGTCCATAAAATAAGCTGTAAGCATATTCTTTATCCTTTACAGTAACTAAAAATAAAAGGTAAGAGGAAAAGATCAGTGAAGAGTTATAGAAAACAGGGAGGAAGCATGAAGAAAAACAAGAGTTATAGTAGCATCAACTGGAGATCAAAATACAATTAAGAACTCTATACATGTGCATATTTCAGAATGCTATAAAAATGAGTCAGAGAAATGGCTCAGTGGTTAAACGTGCTGACTGAATTTTATATGATCTTTTTTAAGTATATATTCGCTTCTTGGATTAAAAATCTACTATGACACCCTGCACAAAATCAGCACCAAAAAAAAAAAAAAACCCAAAACATGAAAGTAGGAAGTTGAGAAGTTTCAGATTGTTAGCAGTAATGATTGGGTAAGAAAAAGAGATTGGGGTATGAATATGATTAGCATAATATTCATACATGTACAATATTGTCAAAATTAGAACAATTTTAAAGACTATTATAGACAAAATTGCACATGCTGTGATGTCATTTTTGAGCTCCTGAATAAAAAAAACATGGAACTTGGAAAATGCGAATATGTAATCACAACCCACAATCCTGGGCCCATCCTGACTATTGGAAACTTTTCTCTT